ACAACCATGAAATTAAATAACAATAGGCAACTCTGTTTGGATTAACTATGTTGACTATTCATTTAATATTTTTTTTTTTAAAAAATCTTAAAACTCTATAAATTTTATTTATATTCTTTACTAAATAAACAAACACGATCTTACTAATCCCACAACTTATATAAATTATTTGTACTTACATTTAATTTAATGTTATTATTATGAAAATTTAAAAATAGCCATTTTTTAGCTATTTTGTGACAAAAAATTTTGATAGACTAGTTAGAATTTTAGGATAAGTACTTATTGAGTTATAAGCATTTTAATATACCAGTACGAGTTTTACTCACTCTCATTACATAATGAGAAACTTAATATAGACAACCATATATAGTTTCTCCTTATGTACATAACTTCCACTTTTATTTAATCCTTTCAGTTTTTATACTAAACTTTTACTTTCATCTGACTACTCACCCCTTAAATTTCTTTATTTATACATAACAAGTGAACATTTTTTATTAGCGTACGGCTGCTCTAATACTTTGTTAGTTGTGAAGTTTTTAGCAGAAAGCATTACTTTTAAGTTCACTATTGAACAAAAAAAACAAAAGAAAATGCTACAAATTTTACAAAATAAAAATCATAAAATATTTGTAAAATACGAGATGTGGCTGTTAAATGACTGGATTGATGTTATACAACTTTGTATGCGTCTGCAATCGCAACAGAAAATGTACATCCCCTTGGCGATCCCTATACTGTTTCATAATACTTTTTTATTGTTGAAAACGGTGCTGGAAGTCCGCTTCCGTTAGCTGGTTAAGAACTTCTGACGCTATTTTAACTGCTTCCACAATTTAAAATCTTGTCTTTTTTTTGAAGCACCGATTTGACTTTTGGAAATAAAAATAGTCTCAGAGGCAAGGTGGATATTCCGACAAGGTGAGGCCATATTCTACAAAGAACGCTTACACGGACAAAGAACTTCTTGCATCGTCTTGGTTAAACATTTAAGACTTGGTCTTTCATAAATTAGGTCTTTGTCTTCTCACATGTTCACTAAGGGTTGTCAGAACCTCAATATAAAAATATTGATTCACCGTCTGACTCTCGGGGATCAAGTGAATGCAGATAATACCACAAATGTCAAAAAAGATCAGTCCCGTTATTTAATAGCCACACCTAATATATGAAAAATTCATGATGTTTACAACATTTAAAAACGCTATAAACGTATTATTACTAAAATAACATGTCATGAACTTCCTATTACCTATTATATTACAAAGATTCTAAATAAAATCAGAAAAAAAATATTCAGAAAATAAAAACTAAAATGCGAAAATTCGAATATTGCTTTGTTTACAATAAAATGTCCTGAAAATAAAACCAAATATATCTCCTAATCGTTGTTCAAAGTCATAATGTCATCTCCTTTGACGCAATTTCAATTGAATTTTTGGAGGGATTTATTATGTGTAATTTCCTTCATCTTAAATATTTTTTATAAAAACATTAGAATGGCCGTTACTTTAAAAATCTTAACATTTGAGGAACGCCGGCCGAAAATTTGTGACTATTTTTAAGGATAAATTTTAATATATAGATGATGTGACAGATCATGTCATGTGGAGATTTAGCATACGAGTAGCCGACCCCAAGTATAAGGTATAAAAACAATGGTGATGAAAGACGTTTATTTAAAGATGAATTTTACAAATTCTAAATTTTAAAAATTTCCCAAAAACCTAAAACCTTAGAAATATTTATTATATATAATGAAATACTAAAATTCAAAATAGTTTTTAAAACAGCACAAATATTAAATTTTAACTGAAGACAACAATAGAAAATGTTTGATTACTTATGAATAAATTGACCATTTTTTTCATTTTCTTTATAGTTTACATTAAATCATATCAAAACAAATACGGCAAAGATTATAACAAAAGTTTGTTATTCAAATTGTTAGTAGTATTTAAATTTAATACCTTATTATTTAAAAAATGATGTAAATAATGAAAAATCGTTAAATTTAATTTTTGTTTGATATAAGAGTAAGGTAATTTGTTTAAATAAATTCTTCGTGCAAAGGCATAGTTAGGGTTTTGTTCTGGGGAGGATACATATGAAAAAAATTTTAATTACCATGTTTAAAAATAAAGAAAATAAATTGTATATTTACCATGGAATAATTTTATTTTTGAGCGATTTATGTCCACCGCCCACCTTTATTTTGTCTTTTTCTATAATAATAATACATTAAAACGGTTAAAAAAAAAAAATTAACTTAATAAAATATTGTTAGGGATCAATTTTATTATTTTTTTTATGCACATAGTAAAGAATTAAATATTCTTTAAAGAATATGAAGTAGTCATTACTAAATAGCTATGACTACGACAAATGTCATAAAGATAAAACTATAAATATTAAAACGACCTCGTAATTAAGTACTTATATTTTCTTAAACAAAATTAACTACACTAGAGAGAAGCATGTAATTACCAAAAAATAGATAGAGTAAGAAAATGAGTATAAAAGGAACTGAAACTTAAGCATTGTAGTAAATATTCATTTTGTTACTACCTGAGACCCGTTAGTCAAAAATATTTATTTACTATATTCAGTTTTTTAAATTCATAATGTCATCACTAACATTATTTTTCTTAGTGGGTAAGTGTTTATTGTTAAATATGTTTTAAAATTAAATTATACGAATAAGATGATTAAACAATGTAATTTGCGATAAGCAAATTCAACTAACTTTTAATTATAAATGCTACGCTATTTAAATTTGATATCTTAATCTTTTATCATTAATATAATAAAATAAAAATGTTGAAAGTTGGTTGCATTCTGCACAATACCATTCATTCCACTTAAAGATTTATCATTAGTTTTTCTTCTATAAAAGGTTTGTCTGCAATTTCAATGAGTGGCTTTACTGCTGCTGTACCATTGGATCCAAATAATTGTCCAGATATATGTCCAACCATATTTGAACCTGTATGTGCCTTTAATGTCTGTACAAAAGTATATAAAACATTTGGAAATGAATGTGAATTAAAGCGATCGAACTGTCAAAATAATACGAGTAAGAACTTAAAATACATACATAAATGACTAAACATTATAAAGCGATTTTTTAAAATTAACAGCACCTCTAAACTTGTTTTTTGACGAGATTAGTGACTCCGAATTGATTGACCTCTCTGTATTAATTTTGACCCCCGAGTTTGTTTCAGTTAACAAATTTAAAATGTTTATGGCGTATCGTTTGTTTCTTTTTTAACATTTATCATACTCGATCAAATATTTAAATGATTTTTAAAACTACGTAAGAATACAATAACAAAATAAATAAAATTTTGATAATTCCTCTTGTAGTACAAAAATCGATCACAAATAATCAAATTTTTGTATTATTTCTTAGAGTTTAGTCAACTTCATTTTGTGATTATTTAAACATAAAAATTAAATAATAACTATACTTGACTGTTATACAAACAAATAAAGATAACATAATAGCATTATTCAAATTGTAGAATCCTGATGTGTTTTTTAATATTTTTTTTTTTTTTTAGATTTTACCATTGTTTATTATGGAAAATGTGTCTAGTTTTACACGTTTATAAAACTAAATATATTACGAAGAATAATAGTAACAATTCAAAGAAAATTCGAAATTGTATTTTTATTAAGTTGTTTATTTATATTTATTTTATTTTATAAATACACTATGCATTTTAAAGTTTTGGATGTATTTTAAAAATTAAATAAACAAAACATAATAACTAATTTATATTTTGTTGTTATTTAATACAAATATTGTACTTTTATTTACACTGAAAAGTTATTAATATTCTTTTTTGCTTTGCATCTTCTTATTAGATCTAATTTATGATTGACGAATAATTATCATATTTTATTTATCTTTTTACTAGATCGTATCGGGTATAAATGTAATTTTTACTTAGCGTCAGAATAAGTTGTTTTGTAGAGTTATATCAGAGAAGCCAATAAAATCGACTCGTTTATGACTCAAACAAGTATAATCTATATACCAATTAGCTTGAAACTGCAAAAATAGCAATCGAATTAGAGAAGTGTAATTTCTAAATAGACGAAATTAATGGGAAATAAATTATGTATATTTACGTTTTAACATATTAAACACTTTGATAATTTTTATAAAAATTATGTTTACAACTAAGTAATTAAATTGATAAGTTGAAATTATTCATGAAAAATAAATGAAACTCTAATATAACACTGACCTTTTTATAGTATTTGTGGAAGTTAATCAACATTTTTCTTATCGAAAAACAATTAAAACATAATGTTTTGCTTTACAATAGATTTTTCAAATAATTTTGTTATGTGTGACTCCTTTTAATCTTAATTATAAGTGTACCCCTTCCCTAGAAAAATTTAAATCACGCTACTAAATTTAATAATTATACCGACAACTAAAGTTATTTACTATTGGTATAATATTAGTATTTACTATTAAGTATAATTATGAAGTTTTAGATACTATAGTAAGCAACGAGAGAAAAAATATTATAAACTTTTAAATATTGAATAATATTATATTTTTTAAACATTTATCCAATTATAATTTAGCCCCGTGGCACACAGGATGAATAGTTAAAAATGTTGCATGCGTATTAAATACATAGATAGTCCATTGGAAATTCCGACCGACTTGTTTTGCAATCTCAAATTAATTATTACACCTTGACATTAACACTGCTGTATGTTAAAAAAGTAATCTAGTTATGTAATTTAATTTTTAAACGTAAAATACTATCACACTGCTTTATAAAAAATAATAAATCTTTGATATTTATAATATTGTTCTTTGAACATAATTTAATGTAATAAAAGTTTATGGTAATGTAACATTTTCTAGATATTAAGAAATAATTTATAAATAATAACAACTTTATAAATTTAAACGATTAATAAAATAAAAGTTTATTTTATTTGCATCGCTAAAAATTTACACTAAACCTTTTATAGTCAAGGTTACCATTTATAACATAATCATTATTTCTACAAAAAACTAATTATTTATAAATACATATTATTTTTTGAATTTAGAATATTACATCAATGAATAAGTCGATTAACATGGAATATACATCAAACCTACAGCCGGGAAAACCCTTATTTTCTTGTGAGCAATGGGTTGCCTTGAGGACTGGTAGTTATTACAAAGGAGAATGGAATGAGAAAACTATGCATGGATTAGGAAAATATCATATGCCCGAAGGTAAAGTTGTATTGAAAATATTTGCTAATTAAACTACTTAAGAAAATTGTATTTATTTTAGGGGCCATTTATGTAGGAAAATTCGAAAACGGTTTCTTTCACGGACCTGGAACAATATACTACCCGATAGGATCTAAAATCAAAGGAATCTGGAATAAAGGTCAATGTCAAACACGTACTTATATATTTCAAGACGGTCTTAAGTTCAAATTAAAAGATTGGAAGTACTGTAAAATGACTGATAGGAGGTATTTTATAAAATAAAAACTACAATATGAGAAAAAGCTATTAATGGCTTTCTATCCAAGTTGAAATCTTAACTAAAATTACAAATTTGAAACAAGAGATCTAACAAACCTATGTTAATTTTTAATAGATTTTATTTACTCATTTAATTTTATGAAATTAAATTCAATAAAATACATGATATTAAACATCGTTGTAACAAAATAAACTATAATCACGAAATCTCTTAGAACTTAAGTAGATTGATTAATACTGGTATTAATTACTATTTGATTTCCATATATATATATAAACTAACATATGCAATATAATTTTTTTTTTCAAAAATTTTCTATAATTAAATAAAATTTAATTAAGTTCCTATTTATTTCNTCTAAAATCAGAGGGATCTGGAATAAAGGTCAATGTCAAACACGTACTTATATATTTCAAGACGGTCTTAAGTTTAAATTAAATGATTGGAAGTACTGTAAAATGACAGATAGGAGGTATTTTTAAAAAAAAAACTACAATAAGAGAAAAAGCTTTTAATGGCTTTCTATCTAAGTTGAAATCTTAACTAAAATTACAAATTTGAAACAAGAGATCTAACAAACTTATATTAATTTTTAATACATTTTATTTACTCATTTAATTTTATTAAATTAAATTCAATAAAATACATGATATTAAACATCGTTGTAACAAAATAAACTATAATCACGAAATCTCTTAGAACTTAAGCAGATTGATTAATACTGGTATTAATTACTATTTGATTTCCATATATATAAACTAACATATGCAATAATTTTTTTTTTCAAAAATGTTCTATAATTAAATAAAATTTAATTAAGTTCCTATTTATTTTCACTTTTAAATATTAACATAGTGATCTTATTGATTAAACTTCGATATAAATATGTATAAATTAATTAGAATTTTCTCTCCAAATTTCATAACTTGAAAGCAAACTTCAATATCTTTAATTTACTTATTTGTAAAAAAAAAAATTGGTAGAAAAAATAATTATATGGAATTAGCTAATTTTACATAGAACTAGTAAAAATATTTTTAATTTTTCGAACTACTTTTATTTAGAATTATTTCGAGTAGTATACACATTTACTAAGTAAATAAGGATAAAAAAAAAAAATACTTGCAAATTGAGTACTGAGTAAAACTCGGTAAAAAAAGTATTAAAAACCTAAAACCGGGTAAAAGTCGAGTAAAAAAAATCCATACAAACCGAGCACTAAGTAAGAGCCAAAGAGTCAAATTTTTAGTATTAATAAAATAAAAATATCAAAATTAAATTTCTAATGTTTCTTCTTCATTTTAAGTTAAAACCACAATTTAGGCGTAGGTTGGAAGGTTGAATCTATCATATTTAGATTTTTCTCTCCAAAAAATCATGTGCATTTTTTAAATATACTTTTTTAAGATCAGAAAAAATTACAATTGGCTTCCTGAATGTTTTTTCACTCTATATATGAATAAAAATTTCCATTATAAAATAGTTGTTAAGACAAATTCGAAAAAAATATTTTACTGAAATCGTTAAAAAATTAATTAAAATAATAAAAAAAATAATGTATAATGTATTTTATGATTAAAATATACTTATTGAATCTCATCAACATATACTGAATTAAATAACATTTTTATTTTATAATCATATAAAGGCATACAGAATGATCGGCTTTTCATAAATCACTCGATTACGCAAAGTAAATGAAATATTGGAAAAATAAATTTTGATTTCTTTTAGCTGCACATAATTCTTAGTTTATCAGCTAATAATTATTTTTTAGATTCATCTCTTATAACATAAAGAGGCATCAATTTTATTTTTTAAAATAGCAACATACATATTTAATTAACTTATAAAATAAGAAATAATCTTATAGAAATAGATAGGTCGATAACAACTTTTGGACGAGTATTTCAGAAGTTATTAACATTATAAAGTTATGACTGAAGGTGAAAAATAGGTGCTGCAATTTTTATCATTAGTCATTTCCCAGCCATACTCTTTGGTATTTTTATACCTAGCTATAAAAATATCTAGAATAAAATCCAATGTACTGGTACTAAAGTTGTTTTCGACCAGTCATTTTTTCAATTAGATAATTTTCTATTTTATGAGTTAATTAAATGTGTATGTTATCATTTAAAAAAATAAAATTGACATCCATATACGTTATAAGGGATGATTGTAAAAAGTAATTATTAACTGATAAATCAAGAATTATATGTAACTAAAAGAAATAAAAAATTATTTTTCAAATATTGTATTTATTTTGCGAGTAATGATACGGTTTATAGAATATTCAAATAAAAATGTTTAAATAATATCAAAATCATCTAACATTTTTCCATAGCTTCGAATTAAAGCTAAAAANATATCGAAATCATCTAACATTTTTCCATAGCTTCGAATTAAAGCTAAAAACACTATTTACAGAATGGATATAAAACACATTGAGTTGTTTAAATATATCATATATGTTTATTTTGTCCTTTAAAATTGCACTAAGCTAAAACAGAAAAAAGGAAAGTTTTGGTGTTCACATTGAATGTTAAATCGTAAATCCATTATAAATTCATTTGAGTTGATATATTTACTTTAGATTCTTTCTTTATATTGAAATTTAATGATATCTATATATATTTTCTTTTGTATGTTCGTTCTACATTTTGTAAAAAATTATTTTCATAATATTTTCATAATAAACATTTATGTCATATTTTTAGGTACGTTTTAGAGCATAAACATGGTTTGCAGCCAGCTGCACGTAGCCGAATCTCTAACCGTGAAATTGTGATTGAGACTCCTAAAGGTTTTTACGACGCTGGTGATGGATTTTATGATCCTCGTACGAATACCGTTCATGATTACGAAACCAACGAAATGATCAGGTATGAATAATTCTCAGTGTTTGCAGGAAGATTTTTCTGTTTAGTCCTTGGAAATTAAGCCTCATACATAAATGTATCTAATAGGTAACATTAGATAATCTTAAAATTAATTACTAGATTAAAAAAAAAAATATTGGCTACTACATAAAAGAAAAAATATAAATAATTTTAGATAATTATACTATTATTATAGATCATTTAAACAATTTTTATCGTTGTGTTCATTTATGTGTTATGAACTATGTTAAAAGAAAGTTTAGAATGTATTAATAATTTTTTTATTATAAATAATTTTGCTCAAGTACGAGCACACTTATTCTATTTTAATTTCAATGCGATGCTGAGATTGTTATTGTCATAATGTGTTTTATTTAATTTCTGTTCATGAAAATTCTCAGCTCTCGCTGAACTTATTTTATTGATCTATGTGTCAAAACACCACGACCTTATTACCTATCATCGCCGAAAATTGAAAAAAAAAACTTTATTTTAGAAATCTAAAAAAATATTTCAAAATTATACTACCGTAAAAATGGCATTTTCAAGCATTTTTTTCTGCATTTGAAAAATACGTATTTTAATGAAATTTTAATAAAGTATACTAGAAACCACACGCTTTATTTTGGTATACTTTTTATGAAAATCTAATTAAATATGTTGTCCAACAATTGTTCTATTATAAGAAATTGATCGTCAAAGTAATAAAAATTACAATTTTTACAACAATAATTTCTTTATTCTGAGATTTCTGACAAACCAAAACTTATACCAAAATTAAGCTATTTAAAAATGGCTAATTATGAAAAAATAAAAACTCTTTCCAATATTTTTGCTATGAGTTTTTGACTTTAAATCCAATTACGTTTTCCTGGAAAAATTACTTAGTGTGCTCCGATTTTCAAAATCTTTTTTTTCAACGAAAGTACTCGGCCACCAGACTTAAGAAAAAATATTGATGATGGCGGTCAATTTTTGGCGCTCGCTCTCATGAGCGTTTTAAAATTTCAACCTTTTTCGAGAAAAAAGCTGACGTCAGTGTTTTACGACTTTAGGTTTAAAATCATCAACACACCCGCCCAAAGAAGTTTCTGAGATATCATAAAAAATATTAATTTAATCCGTTCATTTTTTACCGTTCTACAAGATTTTTTTTATGTCCACACACATATTTCAAATGAGGTTATCATCTCGTTCTTCGCGCATATATAAATTTTCAGTAAGTAAGAAAACGGGTTTTTGTTGTTCTCTTTGTTTGTAACAATTTACCTGTTTTCTTAGTTATTGACCATTCTGTATATGTTGACTCTGAAATTGTGGATAATAAATTTTTAAGTCAATTACTCTTTTTGAATTTACCTGATTTTATTAATTAAATTTTTAATATATTTTTGTTACACTGATTTTGATATGATACTTTTTCCTGCAAAACACTTATCGTGCCGAGCATAGCTGAGTATTCTTACCAGAATCAGTGGCCTTCTTATGANCATAGCTGAGTATTCTTACCAGAATCAGTGGCCTTCTTATGAGGTCGGATTAAAGAGGCTTACGAGCCGAAGGTGCATAAGTCTTGTAGGGCGTCAGGTTTGGGGCGGTATCCCATCCAGACGAAGCCTAGTATTATATAAATGTTTTTGTTGTGAACTACAATATTAAAATTAAATTTTTCTTGACAATTGTCCCTTCCATGAAAAATCGGCAGTCAAATTAATTTTTTTTAATTTTTATAAAAACTATTTATATATTATTTATTTCAAAATAACTATTTTTTATCACTTTTCAAACAAATAATTTTGATTGGTCGATAACAATTACTCATTGTGTTATGAACATTTTAATACTTTTAGTGGGTATGTAGTGAAAGTAGATGTAATTTATACTTAAATTTAAAAAAATTTTAAATAATTTTTTAGTTTTTTATTAAATAAATGAAAAAAATATTTTTGACATATTTTAAAGCTGTGAAAATGAAAAAAAAAGTACGCAAAATATTCACCGGAAAAAAGTTATTAAAGATGTCAAAACCTCATATATATAAAACGTTACATATATTTTTTTTAATGAAAATTTTTATTAAATGAATTTTGAACTATGTAAAAAATAATAATTGATAGAATCCAATATATTTATAATTATAATTATAATTATATAATACACCAATTAAAATATAAAAAAATGAGTTATTTATAAAAATGATCAAATTATTAATTTAAATTTTACTAAAAATATTTCACATTTTTAAAAAGCAAATCTTTTCTTAACCGTTCAACTTAATATGAAGTTATTCTTTAGTTAACGTTTCAATTTAATTTAGTCACAAATCATCATATAAATTATTTACATGATTAACTTAACTTTTAAAATTAACATGTCAACTTTTGCTAACATGGATAATAAAATCGAAAAAAAGCATTTATATTATCAGTTTTGTTCACCGTAAGTAATTAGATTTAAACTGCACAACAACGTTATATATTATAACAAAAAAAAATTGTTTCTATATAAAATAAAATGTTATAAAATTAAATATTTTAAAATAGAATAAAAAATTTTATTCTAAAGATATTCAACAGATTGAAATTTTATTAAATTATAACCAAATAAGGGTGCCAGAAGGTGATTAGCGTCTTGAGATTTTGCTGATTTTACCTTTATTTTTTAAGACGTCATTAAAAAAATATTAGCCTCTACGTTAGTATTTAAAATAATTTTAGTACCTCTTAGAATTTGACTGAATGCTTATGTTGATACATTTTTAACCCAGAGATTAATTAAATTAAATTAAATAAAAACCAAATGATTATAAAACTAGTTAGTTGTAGAGTATTTATCTATAAGAAATGAATCATTAAATGATTTTAGCATAAAAACATTGAGATATTTAAATCATTTAACGACATACTTAATAAATAAAAAATTAATTACCACAAAATTATCTTTAGTTGAAATTAACAAATATAATGATAACCAATTAGAAACTCAACCCAACCCCTAGGATAATTTGATTTTTTTGTTTATTAATACAGTATATATATTTAAATGAATTTTAAGGGAAACGCTTATTCAGAAAAGATGAGTCTCTTGTATTCCTCCTCACTTTAAGCCTTGATTTTAGACCTAATACATTTTTCTGATATACCTTTAATATTAAAATTGATTTGTAATGCATTTTATATATAGCATTTAAAATAATTAAAAACCCATATATAGGTACTTGAGATTACTCAGAAAAATATAAAAGATAAAGGTTTTCCTGGGATAACTTTTCTGAATTGTTTTTTTTAATGACTAAATATTATTATTATCAATTGTTAAAGTCTATTTTTTTAAATCAATTAACTTTTTCATTCAGTTTAATCATAAAATTATTTGATAATTTTTTTAAGGGTGCCTTCCGATGCTGGAGCTAAGTGGATAATGGAAAACTGTTCTAAAGGTGGTGAGGTACAAATACCTTTTCGTCCATATTTCAATGAAAATCGTTTGAGCAATACCGTAATAAATATTAACGACACAACAGCTAAAACAATGTTTGTTGATTCAGTTATAGATGAATTTGAACAAACACAAAGTGAAGGTAGTTTAGTCACTGACACTGTATCGGGCGTTTTGTCAGATTGTATTATCAACAATCAAAGGTATACATTTTTTCTATCAAAATTACTAATCGAATCTTAAGACAATACAAAATGTTGATATAAATAAAAAAATAATAAAAAAGTTTCACTTCAATAATTATTACAATTTCAATTCAATAAGTTTAACTGATTATAGAATTACTTAATTTATTAAAAATGTTACTATCAAAACCCACCACGGTTCACTAACACATAATATAAATAATTATACATTTCAATAAAGTATAATTTAAACTATAGTTTGTTCGATACAAATGGCAGTTCAGACGACTGTGGTTTATTTTCGAAAATGAACATATCAACAGATGCACATCAACAACTGAAATATTGCCCGAAAATTATGAACTTAAAAAAAGCCAAAAACGATCCAAGTCATTTACAGTTTGAAAACATTAGTCATAGTGACAATAGAAATTGTCAACAGAAAAACCAGAATAATGAAGACGAACCTGGGTTTTGGTAATTAAGTTATTCATTGGGCATTCCATAGTAAATTTTCTGTGTAAACTTTAATAAAATTTATCTTACTTCAATAAAAGATATTCTACGGGTTACCAATTTATAAAATTTTTTATTTTCAATACACCGGCAAGAAACCGTTGAGTTATTTCAATGTTGATAGTATTTAATCATAAAAACCGGTTTACTACAAAACAACATTTCCTATAAATAACATTAATGTACCTATATTAATTATATTAACAGCAATTGAACCATCAGTTAACTGCGAAACACAGACATGTATTCTAATACAGCAGTTTTGTTTATTAGTAAGTATCTATACTCTGTTTTAAATATTTACTTTTATAAATGTACAATTTACTATGTAATTTTTATTAATAAAGNTTTTATAAATGTACAATTTACTATGTAATTTTTATTAATAAAGTAAAAATAAAGTTTGAATAATTACTTTCAATAGTTTAAGAATGTGTTGATTTACTTAAATACAAACGGTAAAATCATATATTATATAATATTATTGTAATAATATGATATTTTATTTGTTAAATATTTTTTACTTATATTATTCAAGTA